AAAAATTGCCGTCAACTCTGATGTTATAAATAATGATGTAACGAAACGATAACGTCATCTACGTTTATATCAAAATATATTTTAAATTATCATTATGTTACTGAACGCCGTTTAGTAAAATCGTTATAAAAAGTTTTAATTGGCATAAATTTGAGCTTTTGTAATTCTGAGTAACGTTTCGAATAAATTGCATGGAAACAAATGAATTTTTCTTCTTATAAGCATAAAACGAAGCCGTAAAACTGAATTACTCTATGGGAAATCCCGTGAACTTTGAACTATCGACCCGAAAGTTCGACCAGTACCTCATTGCTAACGAAAAAGGCTTAAGTTTAAAATTTAAGCTTTCTAGACCCAGTAGTTTTTTCTCTACGAGCGTCTGCAGTGTCGGATGAAGAAAAATGAGAAGAAAATATAGCTTTTTTGCAGATTTTTGCACTTTTCGATTGATTATATTTCGGCAATCGCTTTATACAAAATCTTGAAATTTTGCACAGTACCTAAGAAAACAATTTTCCTTCGAACGATACGAGATATTCGAAATTACTATAGGTGTTTGGGGGGCGGAGAAATCGACTCCCGAAAATCGGCAACTCTGATTCCTGTATATGTAGTCAATCAGTGACGTTTTTTCTTGCCGGACTGTCACTATGATATAAAACACTAGATTATTGGATCAAATTTCATCTGTTTCACTTTTTTATTCTATACAAAGCAACAATCAATGATAAAATTTTTAGTGTTGAAAGATTGAGTTTCTAATAAAATTCATAGAAATTTGCAAGCTATTTATATTAATGGAATACTCAAAAGAGATATATTTGCTTTTTTTGTACCATAATAATGTAAAATGCTTAAGAAACAAACAGCAAAGATATTTAAGAACCTAAGTTATAGATTGTGAGGCCGGGACCTCACCCGACGATACGGGAGAAGAACCACCGAACAAACGTCAATGGACGGGTCCTTTGCGCGAAGTCTGGGAAGAGAAGTTGGGTGGTGTAATATTTAATTGTCAATTTGGGCAATTTAACGAAAATAAATATGTATAAAATTGTTAATTTCTTTAACCAAATTATTAATGATTTGAATGCTCAATATAGGAAATAACTAGATGTTCAATTAATTAATTTTTTTTTCTTTATATAAATAATCAAATTGATTATATTTACTTATGATTGTATTGCTTATACCTTAATCATTACCCCCTGTAACAAGGATTCCTTAATATGAATAAAGACTTTATTATTATTATTATATTTAATTGTCAACATTTCCGGTCGTAGATCGCGTGAGAAGAAGAGGGAGAGACACTAATAGAAAGCTTTGAGGTTACTTAATACCGAGTCAAAATCGAAAAAGTGTGAGGTCCTGGACATGTCCGAACCGTCATGAAATTCGTGTAAAAATTATTGTTGTACGGAACGAATGTAAGAAAAATCTTAGATGTTAGAAATGATTTCTTTTATAAATAGAAACAAGCGAGTCCCGAGTGTGACTCAGACACGTATTAAATTACCTATCGGTGTCGAGCCGGAGAGTCAGAACTTTGACACCAGTGCTCGCTTGCTGTAAAAAGGGTTAAATTAAATCGGAAAAATACAGATTAACAGAAAAGGAATAATAGGCTAAAATTACAAACGCAGGCCTCCTAGTTCTAATGACATCTTCGATATATATTTGGGAAAAGTGTTGGATGAGATCGTCTCGGGTTAGACTTTTTCCGAGACTCGAGTCGATTTTATTTCACCTGGGAACGGGAAAGAGGACCAAGTGACAAGTAAATTTCGGAACCAATGAAGGGAAGAGGTTTAGGGAAAGAAATTTCTATAAAACCCAGAATCGCCAAGTCAAGTGGCGGTAAAAAGGAGGGTTTTCCTAGAGCCGAACAGTCTCTCCTGTCACAGCAGCCACGCCCAGTTATGTTTAACAACGAAACCCGTGCCACTAAGCGATATTGTTCGATACTTTCAGCGAAGGACCCCGGCCAACGGACTATCGACGAACTTCTGATTACTGCCCCGGAGCTGCAGTTAGTGTTGACTTTATAGGTAGAAACTAACCCCTACCCTTGGTGGACCCGTCCATCTGCTCAAGAGAAGACTCCGATAGCAGCTTTTACCGGATTGATTAACTGATCGTGGCCAGAAATAAAGGACATTCGGTAACAAAATTATGTAAGCAATATTTCATTCCAATAAACAGGATTTTGTGAAGGTGCTGGTTATCTATCGTCTTCATGATCACCACCCACATAATCGAGTGACTTTTAGCCACTCCTGAAGCGGGGTAACGACTTTTTCCCGGTCGGCTAATCTACAAAAGCAAACGCTTCCTCAGAGGAAGGTGCGGCCGAGAACCATACGGACACAGCTGCATCTTCTTCGAAAGGGAAGAAAAACACCGTTTGTTTATAATTTACGGGATAATCGTTCTAAGGAACGTAACCCAACTCTTTGAGGATAGTCGTAACCTCCGTGATCCGAATCGCGCCCCTTGCAACAGCTTGGGGACAATCGGGATGGGAAAAACAATGGTTCGGAGCCAGAGACCGAAATTCGGGGATAAACTGTATAAAAACCTGTGTCCTCAAAGACACGAGGACGTTTTCTTCGTCCGTTGAATCCTGCCACACCGGTGATCCCATCTCGGAGTGCTTCCCGTCTTCTCTGTACCTCAGAATAGTAGCGCAGTCCTTCTCTGTGTTAAGGACTGCGCTACTATTCTGCACAAGCCCGACATTCCCTTTCTCAACAAGAAGATACTGGGAAAAAAGAAGACCACCGGCGAGGGGCGAGACATCATCTCTGGCAGGCATTCTGAACTGCATCCTCATGGGACAATGTTACCTGTTGCTCTATCTGGAAAGATCGAAGATCCCGAATGTAAAGTCTCGACCGGAATTCCAAACATCGACCAAAATTTGTTTTAAAAAGAAAATTGTTTTATATAAAAATGTTCTTAGATTATAAAACATCGTAAGAAAGGTCGTTTTGTGAGAGAGTAGAATGGAAATTCGACCTTTTCTCCTACGATTGCTAATACGGAGAAATGAAATGTTTAAATTAATGAAACCAAACGTCACGCGATTGCAGCCGATAATATTTATAACTGGAGTAAAAACGCTTAACTATGAGTTACGGGCGGAAATCGCAACAATTCAATAAGCATATCCGATTGGTGTCAGATCTCTGAATTCGATCCCGAATAGCTCTGGTAACGAACTAGGAGCCAATCGAGAAAGAGGAAGATGGAGATCACGACCAACCAGAACATCCGATTGGTAATGCCAAACCTTTAAAGAGCCCGAACTCAAGGACAATAGAGCCTTTCCCATCAAAACAGTCAACTTTTAATCGAGTGATACGTGCGGACAACGAATAATATGCTACAATATCTACGATAGAAGAATTTTACGAATGAGCGACGAACCCCTGGAAACATTGTACTGCCGTACCGAAACATCGTATCCCCAGACTGTCACCGTCGTCCGGACTCATTGTATCTCTTCGGATTAGTTTTTAAGAAAAAGGAGATTCGTAAACTTTTGTAAGATGTCTTTTGTATTCTAACTAGCAGACCCCGCCACACGTTGTTGTGGCTCAAAATGTATCTATTAATAATTAATATTATAAATGTATAACACTTCCCTGTGGGGAGATTTTTTGAAAAATTCCCTTCTTAGTGTACATTCTCTTCACATACCCTATTAAAACGCAATCAAAAACGCAAAAAACCACATCTAAAATAGTATAATAGAAGCCAAGTTCTTCACGGTAAGCCTTAATCCTGTCCCTCTTCTCCGCGGCGGGGAATATCGAAAAAGCCCTTTTTAGTGTATATTCTGTTGACGTGCCCGATTAAAACACAAAAAAAAACACATCTAAAATAGTATAATAGAAGCCAAGTTCTTCACTGTAAGCCTTAATCCTGTCCCTCTCCCCCCAGTAGGGGAATTTCAACATGTATACGAATGCAGTGTTGTGTCAAAATTTCAAAGGAATCGGTAGGAACAAACGAACGTTACATTTTTATTTATATAAATAGATAGATGATCTGCTTTAGTTCATCCTCACAGAAAAGCAAACTTAGGTCGTCATACTCATAGCACCATCTGTTGGACATAAAAGCCTTAACCCTAGATGATAACTTTTAATTTATATGAATGTTTAATGGATAATATACAGCCTATGTCCACCCTGAAGTTCCATTCTAAATATTGGTGAAAGAATTTTTGAAATCGGATGAGTACTTTCGGAGATTACCTGCTACATCCAAACTTACTTACTTACAAACATTACCTCTTTATAATATTAGTATAGATAAATGGGTGTTAATTGTAAACCAAGTTTTTGCTTCGGTGTCTAACGTCATCACCCCACATACACAGTCCACACCTTCTCGCCATCCTGAATGATATCTCCTCCTTAAATAGAGGAGTGTCGACCCGACACTAGACAATATCGAGTCCGTGATAAGACGTCACAGAAAGTCTTTACTCGAACTAGGCTCATATACTGTAAGCATTTACTTGTATTAAATGCAAATTATCTTGTAAATTCGTACCTGTGTGAGTCTCTGTGCCCGACACTACTATCTCAATACTCTCGCGTCATCCTGACAAAATCGCGACATACTCTCCCACATCCTATAACACATTACAATATTAATGCACTCATTCTGTCATCATATTAATTTCTTTCACAAAATCTCAGATATCTTTTGAACAACATTTAACTATTTAGATATATTTTAGTTGAATATTTTAAATTAAAATCAAGCATAAGACATTTTAAACATAGTTTAAGTATTTTTTTTTAACATTTAAGTTAAAAAATGTATCATAATTTAGTTTTAATTTTAGGAAATTTAGGAAAAGACAAAAGATAAAAATCTCTAAATCTTAACGTATAATCAGATTTATTTGTTTTTAATTACATTTGAAAATAAAAGATAAGAATGAAAATTCGTTAATGATATTTTAATTATTAAATCTATGTTTAAACATATTGAATGCGCAGCTTTTATAAAGTAATATACATTTGATTATATACATATACATACTCTAGTTTTAACTATTTTACATATTTTTAGGGAAAACTGCACATCTTTTTTTGTCCTCAAATTTGGAATTAAGAACCAAAGCTCTCCTTTTGAGAGCAGCTAAAATCTGTACTTTTTCTGTATTTTCTAAAAGGACATGATAATATTCCCTTTTTCTATCTGCAATTTTTCTCTTCCATTCTCTCAAAGATTCTTCTTGTTTCATTATTATTTTCTTTTGTTTTCTTTCTAATTCTTGTACTTCTGGAGATTCCTTCAACATTTCTATGCGTTTCATGTCAACCGTTTGACCAAATTTTGATATCATTTTGGCTTTACTCATTTCATTCATTTCTCTAATTTTCTGAATTCGAGTTTCACATTGTTGAGTAAGAACAGCTTGTTGAGAGATTATTTCTTTCTGTGTTTTCCTTCTCTCAATATTTTGTTTAACGAGATCTGCTCCTCTTTCTTTCAAATTTTCCAATACTTGATATGGAAATAGAATGGCGGTATTCAGATCTGCAGGCATTTGAGGCGCACAATGTTGTATCTGATCCAGAAATAGATTAGCAGTAACATTAATTTCATTTAATTCTTTCTGTTTCTTCAGTTGAACTTGTTCTAATGCTTTCTTTACTGGATATATAACATTATCGATTAGTTTTAATTTCTTTGTCAACGATTCCCATTCTAATTTCTCAGCTTCGTGTAATTTTTCTGTTTCTTTTAGTTTTGTCTCTACTTCGTTTCGTTTCTCTCTCAATTTACAAACTGATTCGAATAAATCAGGATCACAACCTGGAGGACATCCATTTCCATCCCATCCAAAATCTTCATAATAATCTTCCTCTGATGACCAGTCAGATTTATCATCTTCGAAGTCGTCGTTATCCTTCTCTTCCTCTTTCGCTTCTTCCTCTTTTTTCTCTGTTTTTAATGAAACTTTTTTTTTAAAAAACATTGTCAACAGATAGTAAAATTTATTATTTTCTCCCAATAAATTATCCAAAACGGAATGTATTTTCGTTTCTTCCTCTTTTAACTTGGCAATAATTTCAGCTTGTTCTGCCATTTTTTCCATTTGTTTATCCAAATTACTTTCCAATTCTTCTTTTTCTTTTTTTTTCTCCTTACATTTATTTATCAACTCTTCTTCTTCTTGGTCGTATTTATCTAATATTTGATGTTCGATATAAAACAGTTTTCGTCTAATATCCAAATATTTTAATTCTTGATCCATCAAACTTCTTTGCAGTCTTAGAAAATGCATTCGACTATCAAACATCCAAATACTTTTTAGGCTTTCAATGTAACTATTCATAATAGTATAATTTAGTATAATTTCATCCGCCATTTTTAACTTACTTGTTATATCAGAAGCTTTTTCTATAGAAATATTATTTGAATATTTCCAAATGTTAAGTTTGTTTTCCACCTGTCTCGGACAACAGCAGGCATTAAAAAACGTATTTGAAGTTAGTTTGATATCGTCGCAACATTTATGTTGGTACATAGTTAATTGTATCTTCAGTATCTTATTCTTAATAGATGACGATAACTCCTTTCTTCTCTCGAGATAAATTTCTGTAGGAAACTTCAGTTCTATAAATCCACCATATTGTTCCAGTTTATTTGTTATATCTTCTTTCCACGTATTTAAAAGCATTACTTGATTATTGTAAGCAGTTTTTCTTCGATGTACATCCACATTGAGTTTAAGTAATTGTTTATATTTTTGTCTGGCTCTAACGGGTAAATATTCTGGAGGAAGATAATCGTGATCGATTTTTAATTTGTAATCTCCCAATTTTTTTCTTAATAATTTAGCTAAAGCATTATTCGTTCGAAAATGCTCAAAGGATCCTCTCGAAATTACATCTTGTTCTCTAGAATCTTCAGATTTTGCAGTTTCTGTAATTTGCGTCAATGCGAATTTTTCTAAGTTTTTCGATTCTTCTTCTAATAATTCCTTACTCAGTGATTTTAATTCTAAATTTTTTAATTCGTCCAATTCCGTAAAATCAACATTTTCATATTCGTTTAATGGCAATTCGGTCATTCTCGATGTGAAAACTTCTTCGTTTGTTAAAAATGACGATAATACAACCAGTTGTTGCTGGATATTACTTTTCCACTGAGTATTTAGTTTATTAAATACGATCTCTTTTTGAGCAATGTTATATTCCAGTTTCTTCTTTATATTTTCTGATTTTATTTTTATTTCTTTCTCCAGTCGTGCTTTTATTTTATCGTGCACAACAATTTTACTGAAGTCTGATTGCATGTGTTTTGGAAGAATTTTATTTCTAGATGTTAACTTTTCATAATTAGCCCTAAGAAGAGTCATTTGTTGGATTTGATGGAAGCGATTTTTTTCCAATTTTTTCAAGTTTTCCGCTTCTAGAGAAACTTTGCATATTTGTTCTAAACTCAACGCATCTTTTTCTATATTATGAGCCCCTCCCAAATATTCAGATACGGGAATATTTATATTTTCTGGTAGAATTTTATCGTACTTAGGAGCATTCATGTAGAAAAGGAACACGTTACCGTCTTCTCCAGTAGTTGCTAAAAGTTTTCCATCGTGACTACTTGTTATAAATTTTATAGATCCTTTCTGGAAATCGTGAATACCCGAAGACCAAAATGATGTTAAATACATGTCTTCATTTTTGTTACGTTTCTCAATACAATATACACTCAATACGCCATCATTATGACCAGATACTAAATAGTTTTTGTTAGTCGTAAAATGCAAACACGAAACTGAATCCAACTCAGAAGGAAATATTTGCATTATTCGATTTGGTGTTAAATTAGGAATTTTTCCATTTGTTAAAATATCCTTAGAAATTGAATATTCGTATAAAAATCCTTTGTTATTTCCTTCCATACATAACCAAAATTTTCCTGCAATGCCGGTATATGAACCACATGTTATATTAAATGGTTTTCTAGGTAATTTGCAGTCCGTATCTTTTTCAAATTCTAAATATGATGATTTCAATTCCTCTGATAATTCGGTTGTTTTCATATCTTCCGGTCCATCTGTAATATTGGATTCTGCATTAGAATTATTTTTATATCCATTGGATTTTGTAAGCTCGTTTTTAATTCTGTTTGTTTCCTGTTCATTTCCATAATTTTTTTCCATTTCTGTATCTAAATATATTAAATTTTCTTCGATTTCTTCTTCAATCTCTGCAGTCCGCTTTACAGATTCAAATTCTTTCGGTATCGTAACGGAAACTTTCTCATGTGACTCCGTACTTTCCAATTCTATTTCTTTCCAAGAAAGATCTAAATTATATGTCGATTTATTTTCTCTAACACCAAAACTTTTTATAGTTTCAACTACAGTTAAAATATCGTCTCTGCAATACGCAATTATCAATTCGATTTTATCTAACCATATCAACCATTGAATAGGGCGTCGAAGATCAACGAATCCTAAAGGTTTCATTTCACCACCTCGCACAAAATAATAAAATATTGTTCCATCTAAACTAGCTGTTGCCATGTAAGTAGCAAAAGAATTTGTTTTAATACACGTTATCGCAGCAGTATGTGTTTTTATAACTCTGCGCATTTCAAGATCAAATTTGGTTATTTGTCTTACGTTTTTCTTTATAACCATCCACCTAACGACTCCATCTTCAAAACCTAAAATCAGAGAACCACCTCCTCTATCTAACATTCTAGAACCCCACATCATTGAAGTCGGAGCTTGATGAAATTCGTGACTCGTAATCAGAGAATAATTTAGGCAATTATATAGACGTAAGATACCATCGGTAGATGCTATTGCAATTATATGAGACGTAGGACTAATTTCACAACCTGCTACTTCAGTGGTTGGAAATCTTCGAAATACTTCTGGTTGTTTAGGAGAAAATGTGAAAAATAAATCTAATTTCCATATATAACCCTTTAAATCGAGGCAAAACCATACTTTTTCATCCTTTTTATCCGGCGATTGGACAGTATAAAGAAGATCAGCATTTTGTTTGACTAATAATTCAAAAGTTGGTTTCATTTCTAATAAACTTTTCTCTTCGTCTATATTAATCACTTCTAAGCCTTCAGTATCCCAAATTTTAATCCATCCATCATCTCCAATAGTTAAAAATTCTCCACCTTTTAAAACAATTTGATTAATGTTTCCATCGTGACAACGTCTATTCCCTTTCTGGCATATCTGAGCTCTTAAAATTCCATCTTCCCAAAGTAATATATTTCCCCAATCAGAAGTAGACAATATTATGTCATTTGGCAATTGAACGAAACTTCGAATGTTAGATACATCAATTTTACCAAATTTTCCAAGTTGACTTTTCAGTTTTAAGCCCGTAAAAGTATTTTCCATTTTCCAAAATGTAATATGAGAAATACCACTTGTAATAATGTTTCCACTTGTAAATGATGAAAATTTTACTTGCCAAACATCATTATCGGATGCTTTAGTTTTTAAAATTATACGTTCTTCCATCCAGTTCCAAATTATAAGAGAATAATTTGGAAAAGAACTAAGAGATGCTAAATACTTTCCGGAATTATCGAAATCCAAATGAACGTATGATTCCTCGGCGCCATTTTGCAAAAGTTTCTTCAAATTAACATCCGGATAAGTAAAAATGTCGATAGTTGGATTAATTCCTTTCTCCGCGACAGCAAACATGGTATAATCGGGATAAGCCGAAATATGTGCAACCCCTTTACCGCAAACAGTTTCGAATATTCTTTGGGATCCTGTTTTCAACTTGAATATGATTATTGAATTTCCAGCACCAATGACTACAGTCTCTTCTTTCAACAAACAGAAGTTGGAAAGCATCGAACGTTGCCATCCAAAAGAATATTTCTTTGTAAGCAAAGATTCAGAAAGAGATTGAGACGATGGAGCATTATAAACTTGTGGTTTGCATCTGATGGCATCGTAATTATAAAATTCGTCCATTTTTTAATGACTTCCTGACTTTAAAGTAAATCTAAGTGCGTTCCAAATTCGAAATGAATATTCTTTAGTTTGTTCCAAATTTTAAGTTGTTATTCTTTGGTTACTAAGCAACAATATCAAAAGCTATTCTGCATACGTTTTATATATAAGAACATTTTAAATATTTTACGAAAGTTTTATTTTAAAAGTGCCATAACTTTTTTTTTAAATGTGCCATGGGCAAGGTTACTTTTGGCTCTCCGTTTTTGAAAAAGTATTAAAAATACGTTAGAAATGGTCTGTTAATTTTTAACCTAATACAAATCGATTTTCTTGGAGGCAAAATTTAAAATTTGAAAATAAAAATGTAACACTGATCATATTTTCGATACCCCATTTCGAATCGTCTTTCGTCCTGGAGTGTTATTTGTATGCAGTGTGAACCCATTGCATCGGCCTAGTTACGACATTGTCTACAGGCCTTAAACTGTACCGTCAAAGTTCATATATTCTATACCATATTTATTCTAATAAAAGTGCGCTGTCTATATCTTATTTAATCTTGCAGTTGCGCAGTTTATTAGAGGGTGCTTGCTATAAGAATAAATACAGTATACTGTAGCCTATATAGTATATACGACTTAATAATCTAAGCAACTAAGCTTTGAGGAAGCTAGAATCGAATCTCGGCGGAGAATACCAAAAAAATTTTTATGGGTGGGTCGTCACGAAGATGTTAGCATCCGTCTCTCACCACGGTGGCAAGAAAGGTCGATTTTCGGTATTCACCTGACACCTGATCCAGGGATGTTGATCGAACATTGAAACTTTCCCTTATATTTTACATAACGCTGTTTTCTCTTCTGCGATCCAAAAATTTTAACGATTATAAAGCGATGATTTTCCCATAGTTAAAACGTCTCGTTCCCCATTTCTCTTAAATTTTATCTATTCTACGAGCGTCAGAGTCAAGGTTCAAATCTTCTGGTCTCACATTGATAAAAATTCTAACACGTACGCTCGAATCTCACTCGGGACTTACATTATTTACGTCCACGTCGCTGTTATTTTGTGCATTTTCTTCTTTACAATAAACTACATTTTTAGCACTTTCAGTCACGGGTTCGGACCCTGTCTGGGACCTCACATTTGGAAATAAAAATAAAACGCAATTATTATTTTAATTATTTACTTTGTATTTAATATAGATCATATTTTTATACAAATTTACATTTTTCTGAATGATTATTTTATAAACTTTCTAACAAATTTAAATGTCAATAACCAATTAGGCTATTGTTGAATTGTTCACAGGTTTCATACAAAACATTTTTTGTTATAGAAAAAACATTTCTACAGTTTCTAAAGATAGAGAAACTTCTTATTTTAGTGCTCTAACTGATTTCTGTTGGACCTGCATATTTATTCATTAATCCAACGACAGTAAACGTTAATTGTAGTTAGCGTATAGTGTTCCCGAGATATTAGGTTATTCGACCATAAGTATCATCATCATATTGTGAAAGCCATCCAGCCACACAGTAGAAAGTTATTATGTCACAAAAATTTTCTAAGATCTGACATGGTTTCTCTTCATTTGACCGATCCATTGTAACGGCTGGATGCCGAACGGTTAAGACGGCAACTTGCTGCTCAGGGAATGCCCGGGATCGGTACCAGAAGAATCGAAAAACAGCAGGAATTTTTCGGGATGATCTGTTCTTCACTACTAAGCTGCCCTGTTGTTGCCCTGGCCGAACTCATAATGAACTTGCTAAAAAACGGTTCCTTCTAGGATCCACATAGCGAAAACAATTAAAGTAATTTAAAAAAAAGACATGCACATTCTTTAAAAAGGCCATCTTAGTCACTACAGGATGGAGAGAGTAAAATAAAGAAGAAAGCTTTCTTTGACGTATTTTTATTAATGATTATATTTGAGTCGTGTATTCCAAGAAAGATCCAACTCCACAAGTTTCTTTTTGGAAAATAAAACTTTTTACATTCTAAGAATTAGACTAATTGCTTAAACATTTTTAAAAATATACATTTTCATATTTATGATCGACGTATACATGTAGGCCTATAACACACTCATTTTTAAAAGCAAGAAAAAAATAATTGATAATGGAAATTTTGGGCCTGTTTTGGAATCCGAACACTAACAAATAAGTTCAAAATACATACATATAATGCACCGATCAAAACAATTAGCGGAGAACGTGACTGCTGTAATCGCGGAGTGACAAAGAACATCATCGATTCGATCCCATATTACACAGATGTACAGCAATTTTGGATCATACAACCGGCTAAAGTCAGCACAATACCCTGTATTTACTGGCAATTTAACCTAGCTGTAAAGTATGTCTTAAGATAAGATTAGGAGAAATTATTTTAACTAGATTAAAAATCTCCTATGATATATAAATGTTTTAGCTGAAATCATACTGAAGTCAGTACTTTACCTAAAAGTTGATTATTGCTAACTCATGTGATTTTCATAGACACTTCTGTATGTATTTTATTTATTTAAAGTAAACGACACCATGGCTATTGGCCTTTTCCAACTGTAAAAAATACATATACAAAATACAAACAATCAACAAAGAAAGAAAGAAAAGTAAAAAAACCGCAATTCAGTTATTTAACAACTTTTTAAAATTGTTCCTAAGTTCTCAAATCTTTATAATATTTAACAACTGAAAATAAAGATATACATTTACACATACACCAAGCAATTTTTCACCATGTCCTAAATTTATTTAATTTAAAATATATGCTCTCAATCTCAAATTAGTAATGTACTGCCTCGCCCCCGTACATCATACTTTTCCTGTTAGCAATAGATTCGGGCCTATCCTCTATTTAACTTCTTTCAAGATAAGAGTTTTGAATTGAAATAAAGCGACTTCTGTCTTGCATTAGAAGTTTACATATAGTTAATCGGGACCTCCTGCCCCTAATTCCAATAGTCTGGTGTCAAAATGGAAAAACGACTCGTAATTTAACGTCGACGTCATCACTCAGTCGGGGGAAATTTCATTTCTTGCAATAGACAATTTCTTGCAATCCTAAACTAAACAATTGCAATTGATTCATCATTTAGTTAGTAAAACGTCGGCCTGTCATAAAACTGCTTGAACATAACGAGAAATAAATTTTTACCATTGATTAGGCATCAATCGTAGTCGCAGAATAGTGTCAGGATGGCTGAGCGGTCTAAGGTGCCAGACTCAAGGTAGATCTTTTCTGTAAATGCGGGAGCGTGCATTCTGGTCCACGATAGTGGGCGTGGGTTCGAATTCCACTCCTGGCACGAACTTTTCTTATGAGCGGTTGATTGAAAATATCTATTTTAGTGTGACGTAAGCGCCTGGAAGACATTTTGTAATTCTTTTGATTCGAAACAGTAATGCTAATTTGGTCAGAACTTTGCAAAATGTTGAATTCCGTTTGAAAGCATCGGAAAAGTCGAGTAAACATATGGAAACGTTGTAAAGCGTCGAACAGAAACTCTGCTTCGCCGCACGTGTGTGAAGCAGAGTTTCTGTTCTAAATTCAAAGCAAAAGAAGTTTCTGAATTCTACTGTCGCTGTCGCCTTCAATTGCATAAACGATGACAGGGGCGAAGAAGAAAAAAAAGGCCCCACCGAGATTTGAACTCGGATCGCTGGATTCAGAGTCCAGAGTGCTAACCATTACACCATGGGACCTCACACAGACCCGGCTGTCGCATATCATCTTAATGCATTGCAGATTGCCTCATCGACTATCGCGTAGAGATATCGCCGCATCTGTTGTTGCCGATAATGGAAATCTCTCCGTCTACACTTTCTCGTTAAAAAGCGTAGCTGTTTAGCGAAATAGCCACAAATCTGTCGCGAAGAGAATGACGGTTGCGGTCGGTGGACATGGTGAAAAAGAATTTAAGAAACGTGTTTCGTTTCGTTTCGTCGTGTGGAAAGCAAACGGATCGTAAATTGTCGATGGCTATCCGTGATCGGTGTGTAAATAATCGAATCATTAATTTGTTTCAAGCGTTTTTATCGGAAGCGGTCACGGCGCTTGCACGACAGAGGCACGATACTGACAGTTGCAAGTGTCAGTTGGAGAGCGTCGCGATTTCCACAACGAAAGACAGCATGCGATCGAAAATACTTAACGAATTTCAGCCGATTAGTTAAATGACGCCCATCAAATTAGTTAACGCGAAGAAAGGCGAGGATGTTCCGCCCTGCGCCATATACGACACTCAAATTACCGTTGTATGTGACGAACGAACCAAGTAATGTCCGTTGGCACGCTGATTGGCTTATAAATGGGTTTCCGAGAAGCGGTTCAAGCGGAGGTTTCATGGTGTAACGGTAAGCACTCTAGACTTTGAATCCAGTGATCGTAGTTCGAATCTCAGTGAAATCTTTTGTCTTTTTTTCTGTCGTCGAAGTTCGTGCCCTATGCAATTATGACTCCTTAGAACGTATAGAAAAGTCTGCCGCAGGATAAGCATAACAGTACGTGTAGGTCCAACCGTATTGCACTCAATCAAAAATGTTCATTGTGATATTTCTTGTGTAATCCAGTTAGAATAGCCAAGTACTTTTGACCAATAAATATCTAGCCTACCAGTTGTAGTCGCTGGCAGAATAGTAAAAACGTTTTATGCTTTAACGTTGTTCATGTACAAATCAAATAGGCTAAGTCTTTTGAAAGAAAGGGCTGACGAATTTACAATTTAATGAAAAGTTGTTTCTGGTAATTGGACATGGCGACAAGTGAAGACATTTTAAATCTCTATGACGTATTTTTACTTCTTAAGTAGAAATAAGTCGAAATCAGTTACTTTGTACTCGAATATTTGTAGTCTTGGGAAAAAAGTGGAAAGACAAATTTTTATGACAAACGGATACATAAATCGTAAATTTAAGGAAAATAAAAGCTTTTTCTGTACCTCGTGCATCTCTCTCATTCATTAAATTTAGTTGTAAATGATGCTACCAAAGTAACGGTTAATTTTTTAACATTATACAAGAATTATACACGTTTTTTTCTACATGAACTTATAAGTGGGACGTACGAAATCGTAATATCACTGGTTTAACATTGAAATTCGTGAGTAATATAGAATCGGAGAGCGGAATATCAAATATTTTAATGGATTTTTTTAACTCCCGTCAACTATACAGAACTATCGTAAAAACATACCAGTAAATTCTTATCGGTTGGGTTAAGTTATAAATTTACTCGTTATTCACGTAATCGGCCAAATATCTAGCGGGCGGGCGGCTAACAGCCCAGAACCGGTCCCGGATAGAATTGGAAGCGTTATCGACCCAAGCATCGATCCAAGGTCGTAGGCTTCCACTGGCTAAACCGGGTGAGGTTGGTGCTCTGTGAAGCGCATGCGCAAATCTGGTTTTTTGGAATCTGACAATACAGAGATTCCATTCCGCCACTAATATTCGAATATACAATAGCAATCTTTTTTTTGACGTGTAGTATAGAAATTTGTAATAAGATACATAATGCGGTTATAATAAAATATTGTGCGATTATTTTCATATAATTAAAATTAATATCTATTTATTTTTTATAAAATACAAGGAAAGCGGCGCTTCCACCGCTTCTAATGACGGCACGCCACTGCTACAGACAAAAATCAGAATGGTCCGTTTCTATAGAAAGACAGACTCAGAAACCTCCGAAATCGAAATTCTGTCAAAAAATCGAAATTTTTAGCATTAAACTGAGTCGCGACGCAACAACAGAATTTCGACAATTGTCTTTTGCTTTGTTGGAATCAGGGCTGTGGAGTCGGAGTCGGAGTCGTGGAGTTTTGATGTTTTAGTCGGAGTCGGATGGTAAGGAAAAGTCGGAGTCGGAGTCGGAGTCGTGGAGTTTTGGTGTTTTAGCCGGAGTCGGAGTCGGATGGTAAGGAAAAGTCGGAGTCGTGGAGTTTTAGTGTTTTAGCCGGAGTCGGAGTCGGAGTCGGATTGTAAGGAAGAGTCGGAGTTGGAGTCGGTAAATTTTTACGCGACTCCACAGCCCTGGTTGGAATGCGATTTAGTGAATTGTTTGTTTCGATTGTTTTCTGAGTAGTTAAAGCACTTATTTTGGGTAAGTTTAGTCTCTGATCTTTGGCATTTAGATAATTTTTAACATTGTTAAGCGGAAAATCACAATTAGAAGCTATAATTTTTCCACGACGAATATTTCGATAATAATCGTTGTGTGGTTTCTTCAAAGAAAAGAATCGAGCCTTTGACTTATTTTGGAAAAGTGCATTGAATCTTTTCATTCTTAATTTTCGTCGATCGAATCGAATTGTTAAAGCAAACTCGAATCATAAATTCTGTCGTTTGCAGTTATAATTTTGTGTGTGTATATTGCATATGCGTACACATTACATCCCATATGACGTTATTATAATTATAATTAATTTGACCTTTAATGAATTAGAATAAATGAGTTTATTCGTCATTAATTTCTTCTAGAATGATTCTCAAACTTTTTCGATCCACCGCCCCCTTTGTTCCATAAAGTTATACCCAACGCCCCCTAACCCATTTTCTCTTGTGTGAGAAAAGGATTGGAAATATTCTTAGGAAAACTTTTCTATGAATCTCACACTTTGTGCCCTTACTGTACATTGTTCTCATCATCTGGAAACCATTAAACGCAATGTTTCCTCTTATCAGCCCCAATTTTGCCTTTGGTCACCGTTCAATACCCTGCCTCTATCATAGATCTATTCATCGCGCCAGAAGGGGGCGTTATTGCTTACTTTGAGAAACGCTGAGCTAAAATAAAAGTCAATGTGTTAGAAATATTCAAGTTGTGACCTTCAATAAAAAATAAAAAATATATAAAATGTCAACATTTTATATATATTCCGTCGAATTTTTATATATAGAATTTGTCTGCCGTCGCCCCTCTATATTTCCTTAACGCCCCCCAATTCTCTTTGAGCCTTCTACTGCCCCCCTGAAAGCCTCCAGCGCCCACAAGGGGGCGTTATCGCCCACTTTGAGAAACGCTGTTCTAGATTATTTTCTAGATTAGTTTTAATGACAATCAACAGAATAGCATAACTTTTATAAACCACAGAACTGTTATTATTATAATCTATTTAATACATAATAATTGAATGAATAGTTTTAACGTTTTCGTTTATTATTCCATTACAACTTTATACTCATTTGTGACTAGAACTTTTCTTATACTTAAAACGACCATTTCCTACCGTATTAAATTTTCATTTCATTTTTTAATATTGTCTTAATTTAACGCTTGTTCTACAATATTTAATACTCGTTTCTTTTTCGCTTGCAGAATGGATAATTTCAAAGCGTTGAAAAAGTGGAATATCTCTGGAGGAGAGAGTCCAGAGGATGGCTCCTCGACATCAGGAACGTCTTCCTCTTCAATTCGAGTGATTCGCGTGCGTCCGAAAGAAGTGCTGGAGGGTGCGAAGGAGAAATCTGGTCAACCCGACAAGAAACGGGTGATTGTCATCATTCCCGATGAGAGCACGTCGTCTGTCATCGATTACCTGGAACAGAGATATCCAGAAGTTCCGGAATGGTCGGTGCAGAGACAGGCACGCGAGCAAGGACTGGAAGAGGAGTGTAAATCGATTCTGAAAAAGAGGAAAAAGAAGCCTTGGTGGAAGAAGATCTTCTTCTTCTGGAAGAAATAAATCAGCAAGGGCTTCTCACCGGATGTGACTCTCCCCCGATTGTGACTTTTTTTTACCCGGATATGGACTTTTACCTGGCTATGACCTAATGACCGGACGTGACTTCATTCATCGGATGTGACTTTTAATGGCAGTTTGGCGTCTTCCCTTTCCTG